CCAATGGGGAGCCTCTGTTGCCATAGGAACCTAATTCAATCCTCTCACCCTTCCCAGACAGAAGTAGTACAAAGCTCGGCAGCGTCTGAAGAGGAGCAGAGTCGGAACGTCAACTGAACCTCGGCCGAGAGAAATAGTTAGCCATGTTAATCTGAAGTCAGGCAAAAGAGAGTGACACTTTATAGATTAACTCTTAATGATGTCTCTCTGAATTAGTTTATGGTGCCACTCTGCTCTGCCTTCTGAGAACTGACACTCTTCCAGACATGTTTGAAAATGTCCTTACGGGGCTTTGTCTGTGGCTCTTTCCCAGTACATCTCCCATATGCTATTATACTAGGGAACCTAGAAAGGGAACGCCTTCAACAGTTATTCACTTCTCAAGCTATGAGTCCACTTTATCATACAGTAAATATAGTAGTTGAAACTTAGCCCCAGCTGATCTGAAGCATGCACAGGATGAATGTGTTTACCACAGTGGTGGCAACAATAAAGGTCCCCCTCCTCTGTCCAGTGCCCAAACTGTTGCAAACCCTAGTGACTTTACACCAATGACAAGGTTATACCTACAAAGTCTATTAGTTTAAGCAAAGCTATTAGGATTTTTTGGCCTCTCAATCCATGCTGCAGATTTTACAGCAGAGCTCTTCTGAGAATAGCACTTGGTAATTTTCATCTAGATCTAGTTCTTCTTTTAATCAAAGAACAGGGATCCTTATTTTAAGTAAAAGCCACAACATGTTCTCATTTTGCTTCACTCTCTGTGTCCTGTTGCCTCTCTCTCTCATATGTATGTCAAGCTCCTGCTTAGACACAATCATTGCCCCTTCCCAGTTCACCAAGGATATCTAAACTCTCCCCAGTCGATAAGTTCTACTGACAGTCCAAAGACTGAACTAAAAGACTGAAGAAAAGCAGACAGCTATCTCCATCTTTCATTCAGAACCACAACAAAAAGAAGCTACAAGTACCGACTTACAAAGGGGCATGAAAGTTTGGACCACATGGGAACGCTGTATTTTGGGATCTGTTGTCTTTAGAAGCCACATCTCAGTCATGAGGAAGAATGCAACTGTGGATTGCATAGAAGAGGTCCAGGAGGCCCGTATGTCCTCCAGCTGTAATCCAAGTTCTTTTAATAACCCTTAATATTATAACTATAAAACGATATACATTCCAAGGGTAATTTTCCTTTACTTTGTATTTTCCTATCTTTTCTCCATATAAATTGCAGGTGCACTGATATATCAGTGCCATATCGGATCGGCACTGATAAAAGGAATACTAACGTTATCAGCTTCTTTTGGTCGGTATAGCAGATAATGTACTGATAAATATAATATGCCTTCCAGCCGGGGCCCCTGGACTCCACGTGCACGTGTGCAGCCGCACGTATGCACTGATCAGGAATGCAGCTGAGCAGCAAGGAGAGCAGCGCCCTGCAGGTAAGTCTGTGGAGAGGAAGGGGCATGGGGGACAGATCAAGGCCCTCACAGTGGGGCAGGGGAAGGGCGGTGAATGAGACCTGAGGGAGTGGGATGGAGCCGCAGGCAGCTTGTCCAGGGGATCAGCATCCCAGCACTTAAAAATGGTGGCTGGGGGGCTTGAACTAAAGCTCATCAAATGTTCAAGTGCTGCCACCACCATTTTTAAGCAGCAAGATGCTTTTAACCAGAAAGATGCTTTTAACCAGAGCAGAACCAAGAGGGGTGAGGGTGGAGGTGAGCTGGAGGCTCTTTGCCTTGCTGCCTCTGCCTCAGGAGCCATACGCTGGGTGCATGTCCCCTGCTCATCCAGCAGCAGTGGCGGTGGCAAGCTGTGCCTCCAGCTTCTCAGCAGGCAGGGGATGTGGAGCAGGGGATGATGAGCTTTAGTTCAAGCACCCCCGCTGCCCTTTAAGTGTTGGGACACTGATTCCCCGGACAAGCCGCCCATGGGTCCATCCCACTCCTCACCCCAGCCCCAGGGTCCCACTCATCACCCTGCCTCTGCCCCTGCCCCAGCCCCACACCCTTCCTCACCGTGGGGACCTCAGTCTGCCCCCCCACACTCTTACAGACTTACGTGCAGGGTACTGCTCTCCACGCTGCCTGCCTGCATTCCCGTAAATTGGTTATCAGATTGGTATTGGCTGATATGCCAGTAATTGACTATTGGTGTCAGCCAAGAAAATCTTTATCAGTGCACCCCTATTATAAATATCTCTTATTCCATTAGCTGGATGAGCTTTTATAACCCTTAAGTTCCCCAACAGGCTAACTGCTTTGTTTACCCTTTTTTATCCCTTCAGCCCACCTTCTTCCCCTTTCCCTATGCTTTGCATTTAAATGACCTTATTCCTTTCTATTTAGTACCCCTGCTCTCTGCAAGTTCATTCATAGCATCTGACAAAGTAGGCTGTACTACAAAAACTCATGCGTCTATGAACAGATTAGGAGTCAGACAACCCTGACAAAGATTAAGTGGATGGGGGCCATAGGCCCCCCGGATGTACGTCGCACATGCAGGCAGGTGACGCTGGCACATGGAGTTGCCCATAATGCGTGCGGCTTGCTGCCTAGTTTGGGAGGTCAAGGCTGCCTTGTCCGCTGCTGCCCTCACCTCCATTGATTAGGTCCTGCACAAGGGAAGTCCCTGCCCCGCCCTCCCATACCACCTAGGCCTCCAGAGCTTGTTATAGAGTCCTGGACGCAGCAAACCTGATGGCACTCCCCGCTTCACCATCTGAGCAGGCTGGGGGACACGGGGCCTGTCTGTTTCCATTTCTATTTCCATTCCGTCCATCGTTGCCAGCTCTACACATTCATGTTTTGTATTTTCTATCATCCTGCCCTCACATCTCACTCAGACAACAAGTGGTGGGACACCCTGGGCAGGGGTGGGCTGAGGGTCCCTGGTGAGTGAGTCTGTATTCCACCCTGATCCTGTGAGCCACTGAGGACCTCAGCTGATGGCTCCTTCACAGAGCAGTTGCCACAGGCATGTATCTGGTGTGCTTTAAAGATGCCCCTGACACCTGCCCCTCTTGTGGCCAGAGGGACACCCTGGCACACGCCTACTTGGAGTGTGCCAGGCTGCAGCCCCTGCACCTCCTCCTTTAGAACCTCTTATTGAGGTTCTGGCTGCATTATTCCCTGCACCTTTTTATTTATGTACTTCCAGTCCTTGGCCCCACCAAGCCCCAGGACCTCTTGATCAACTTCCTCCTGGCCCTGGCCAAGCTGGAGACTCCGGCCAGGAGGGCCCCTGGGGACTGTGGGGCCATTCTCCCTTCTCTGATCTGTTCCTGTCTCCGAGCACAGTACCACTAGGCAGTGTCCACTGGTTCCTTGGACTCACTCGAGGGCCAATGGGCACTGTCCGGTGTGCTCTGTTCGGTGTCCCCACTCAGTGCACTTATTCTGAACCTATAACCCACATGCCTATCCCTGTTTTTCATCCTTTATCCCAAGACCCTGGCTGCTGCCATGGTCCAAGCTACAGGGGTAGTGGCAGCTGGGTGGGACCCAAGGGGTCACAAATTAAACCCCTTGCAGGCTCCATGTAGCACAGTGGTCTCCAACCTTTTTAAGTAAGAGATCACCTTTGGCATTTAAAAGCAACCCAAGATCTACTTGTGCCGCTGCCACTCCTCTGCCCCACCCAGCAGGTAAGTCTGCTACTTGCTTATTTGGAGGTGCACCTCCGCAGCAGGTAAATCCCATCCGGACAGGGCCCCACTCAATTTACCCCTGCTCCAGCCTCTGTGGCACTGTCCCTCACCACGGGGGCCTCGATCTAGCCCCTGCCCCTTCCCTCCCCCACAGACTGACCTGCTGGGCTGAGGCGCACATGCATGCACGCAGGCACTCAGACTCCCACCCCAGCCTCGGATCAACTTCAAGAGGCTCTGAGATCTACCGATAGATCGAGATCCACTGGTTGGTGAACACTGAGATAGCCCATGGATAGCCAGCTGGATAGCCCTGGTCTCTACATAAAGGTGCTATCCTGCCCTGCCTTCTGCCAAACTACAAACTAGCACAGCTAACTGGCTCTCTCTACAAGGGACTACAAAACTGTGACATTCACACATGGGCTCTGAGCTCTGGAAATACTTTTACTCAAATTTTAGAACCAATTTTGAGACCCAAGGGATCCCAGAAGGTCACTATTTCATCCCCTTGCTCAAGGCAGGATCATCTCTCTGTATTGAAATCATCCTAGACTCTAACCTATTCTTAAAAACTTCATGACCAACCTCACACACAACTACCAGCCACAATGCCTGAAACGTCAAAAAACACCCTAACTTGCCATGGATTAGGGAGGGGGATGAGGGTAGTGTAAATGTCCTACCACCGTAAGGACAGGAAGAAACGTGTTAAAACATGCTCAATAGATCCACCTGGATGTTAACAAACAGGAGAGAGGTTGCAGCTTATAAACTAACTGAATCAGCGATGCATACGCTTTCATGCGCAAGGTCTCACTTCACCAGGTTCTATGCATCTCTGATTCAGTTAATCTATAAGGTGCACCTCTACCTGCCTTCTAATAAAAATAAGGGAGCAGCTAAACAGTGTGGAGGAGCAGCAGAACAGATGTAAATCAAAAACAAAAAACCTGGCATTTATCATTTTCCAAATGGAAGGCTGCACAATCAAAGTCTATTCAGTAGGGCCTTTAACAAATGAAAATACTGCCACTCCTTAGTACAGTCAGATGCACCACTACACAGCGATAAAAGCAACTCGAGGCCACAGTTGCACATGCATTTTTAGCTTCCCGCACCAAAGCACCACGGCTCGAGGAGCCTCACTGCTAGAAGCAGCACTGCTGCAGACGAGCCACCACTGAAAAGGAAGCAGTGCTAGTGCAGACTGATTCTAACATGCTAAATGAAGACAAGACCTCAAGGATTATTTTGGTCTCTCTTGCTCCAGTGATTTCAACCAACTCAGGAGGGAGAAGCCTATCAAGACCTGTTTAAAAGTCAGCGACCTAACACCGGCACCCACCTCGACCTGAGCGTCAGTCACAACTTCACCGAAGAGCAGCCCTTGCGCTGGGGTCTAACAAGGGGTGGGAGAAGGGGGCAGCTGAAGCGGAGCCACCAGCCCGTGGAGGGAAGCACCTGCCGCAGGGAGGCCCGGAGGCGGG